ACAGACATAAAGGACAACAATCCAGGGAAATGTCCCCTCAAAGGCACTTTGAAGGATACCCAGGGTTTGGAAGTAAACCAATTGCCTCCTGCTATGTTAGATCATAGACTTCTCTTACAGATAAGGTGACCATAAAAATTATTGTTTAAACTGTGACCTTCTGAGAGTGAAAGGGGCTTTGAAATCACACCAGGGCCACTCTGGGGGCACATGGTGCCCTTCATCTTCTCATTACACACAGACTCCAAGGTCAGGTAGGGGGACAGACTTAGAAGTCTATGGTTAATTATTTGTAATTGTGTTTCCCATGTCCCCTCTTTTGGTTTCTGGCTCTAAGAAGGAAGGAGTTTGTCTTGTCCTTTGGTATCTGGTACAGGGCTGGCTCTTAGCAACTGTCTTAACTCTGACTGACTCTGAATAGCACATTAAGGGACCTCCCCAGGCTGGATTCCAACCCACTGTCCTGATACTTGCCTGGTCCCACTCCCCTTGCTGGTGATTGAGCTCCAACACCTTCAAGGGAGTGACCCCTACATTTCAACAGCTTTCTGACTCCTCCCACTCCCAAGCAGCCATCTTTCTTCCTCATTCCACTAGAATTTCCAGCCATCTCTGGACTGAATAGTCTACTCCCACCCACATCTGCCAAGGTCATAGAGAGATGCCTGAACACTGGAGTTCTGGAAAGAGGCCAGATGTTTAGGGAGCTGGCACCCATCTCTGGCCACACTCAAGAAAACCTCTCACACTCCCTCCCACAGGCAATCCTATTTGAGCTTGGAAGCAGCAACTATGACTTGACTGAGACCCATGTTCCTCACAGACTAGGAAGGTGACATCAGTGAGTGAAGAGAGTGGACATGAGCACGAGGGAATGGTGGGTCCTTAGAGCTTCTGCCATTTGAAATGGGGGCAGCCATTACCAGACCCCAGTACCAAGAGTTGTCAGTCCCTCTCACTTCTAAAAAGAAACTGGAAATCTGGATTTTAGTATGACACCTGACTTTAAGCAATATGCAAATGGTAGAATTATCTGGACTATTCTCTCAAATGCACTGGACCACCTACCTGCAATCAAGACTTGGGGAATCCAGGCCCAGAGAGGTGTATCCAACCTTTCCCCCTCCTGGTGGCTCCCATAGGTTTCCCCTCCCAAGAGGCTACTGGGGCAGACTTCCCACACCCAGGCCTCCGTGATTGGTAGGAAGAGAAGTGTTGAAGAACATGGTCATCTAGCAAGGCAGGTCACTCTCCATCCAGTATCTCTCCACCTTAGTTAAGGTCACATCCCTCCAGGTTCCAAGCCATCCCTTCTCCTGAGAGTCCTAGGAGCTGAACTGCAGCTGACCTACTAGTCAGAGACAGTAGCTTCTCCCCAGTCCAGAGGTCCTACTCACCACCCAGTAGCAGCACAATTCGGAAGGCCATAGCAGAGCAGTACATTGAGGGGAAGTGGAGGGCTAGGGAACAGAGCACTGCAGGGTGCTCAGCCTCCTGGGGTGTAGTTAAAATAATGACTCAGGGCCTCAAAAGGTGGTAGGCGGGGCACAGTGGGGAAGAGGACTTTGCTTAATCAGAACAGAGTGGTAGCAGAGGCCAAAGATACCCCAGGAGAAACACCTCCTACTTTCCCCACCACCACCTACAGGGGTCTGGTTTCCTTCTCCTGTCTCAAGAAACAAACAAACATGAAAAAAGGGTTATAGATAGAAAGGCCCAGAAACAGACTTTGAAGACTAAGATATATAAAATCTGTATCTATGGATAAATTGTTTTGTATATGTGACAGTTGTTTAAAACATCTACAATGTAGATTAAATGTCAAATATAAACAATAAAAACTTCAGGGTTTTTTATTATAAAAAATTTTTATTAGAATACGGGGGGATTCATAGTGACAACTCCAATTAAGCTTATATAGTACGTTGGTTAGATCACCCCCATCGTCACTCCCCCTCAACCCTCTCCCCATCCCACTTAGAGCAATTACAAGAGGCTTCTTTGTTCTATTTCATGTAAGTGTGAGTATATGAAGGCCATCAACCACATACCCTCACCTTAATCTCCGTCGTTCACGCTCCCTTCTCCCACTAGTACCACATACACTTCCCGTACCTATTTTATAGTCCTGTCTTTTATTATTAATATTTGGGGTTTTCTGACAGTACTAGTGTTTGAACTCAGGGCCTCACACTTCCTAGGCAGGTGCTCTACCACTTGAGACATATTTCCAGCCTTTTTTTTGCATTAGTTATTTTTCAGATAGGGTCTCAAATTTTTGCCCAGGGCCAGACTCAGACTTCAAACCTTCTATCATGCCGCCTACATAGCTGGAATTATAGTCGTGAGCCACAGCACCTGATCCTATAAAATAATTTTCTAAACAAAATTTTTAACTCAATTTACTTGAGCTGATAATTAATGGACAGAAGATATTCATTTTGATGTACCAACAATGCCCTTGCAGGCTGTGACTTTGACTTTGAGGCTGACATATTGCCTGTGCTGAGGGATCCATAACAGGTTGCACCTCGCCAGCCATTCTGTGTCTCTGTGAGCTTCTTTCTCTCTAGGTTTGGAACCACAAAATCATCTTTTGAGGATTCTCGTTAATGAGAAAATTTAAAGACCTCCTTATTGTCTCCATTTTCACATCTTATCTTTCAGACACAGTCACAAATTGTATCACAGTTCATAAATAATCTTTCATTCTGAACTTCCTTCCACAAACATTGCTTAAGGCCATGTTTTGCTGATTTCAACAACTGTAAAAATGTCCAACTTTGCCTCAATTGTAATGTCTCTTGTCTCAGCAAAAGTGTTTGGCTTCCCAGTCATTTTTTAAGAGAACAATAAGGGCAAAATTCAATAAGATTCAAATACTTGCAAAAGTGCACACTGCCATGAAAACATCTTCCTCTCAGGCCCAGTGTCAAAACTGCCACAGCTGAACCTTACAGCACCTGCTGTGATGTCTCTCAAACTCCAAGCATCCTCAGGGGACATCAAGGGGCTTCATATCTACAAGAGCCACCCACTCGCCAGGCACTGGTGGCTCACACCTGTAATCCTAGCTACTCAGGAGGCAGAGATCAGGAGGATTGGATTCAAAGCCAGTCCAGACAAATAGTTTCTGAGACCCTATCTCAAAAAAACCCATCACAAAAAAATGGTTGGTGGAGTGGCTCAAGGTGTAGGCCCTGAGTTCAAACCCCAGTACCACAAAAAAAAAAAAAAAACAACTCTAGCAGGTCACAGTGGCACAGTGGCCATGCTTATATTCCTAGCACTGGAGAGGAGGAGGCAAGAGGATCACAATTTCAAGGCCAGCGTGGGCTATGTAGTGAGACCCTGTCTCAAAAGAACCCAGGGCTGGAGATGTAGCTCAGGGGTAGAGCATTTGCCTAGCATATGCAAGGCTCTGGATTTGATCCCCAGCACTCACGGCTTCACGCTTACAAAGCAGGTACTCCACCTCTTGAACCACATCTCCAGTCCATTTTGCTCTGGTTATTTTGGAGATGGGGTCTTGTGAACTATTTGCCCAAGATGGCCACGAACCTTAATCCTCCCAATCTCAGCCTCCTGAGTAGCTAGAATTACAGGTGTGAGCTTCCTGCACCAGGCTCTCAGGTCCAATTTGTGTCTGCTCAACAACACATTATCTGTTGTTTTTTTCCTGAGCAGTAAAGAACACTTTCAGGTCAGAAAAACACCTTCAAAGTCAGGAAAATAAAAATGCTTATAACATAATTTGGTTTTAACAAACCCCAATAGCCTCTCCTTAACATTTAAAATTGTGTAAGTAGGACTTAGAGGGACATGTGTTAAGTTATTGAAAATACTGAATCGCATATCGCTGAGATGTGTAGCTTGAACAAACCACTTAAATTTTTTTTGAGAAAGGATCTTGCCATGTAGCCCAAGCTGGCCTCAAACTTGAGATCCTCCTGCCTCAATGTCTCCAATGTGGGATTACAGATAGATGTGCACCACCACACCAGCAAACAACTATTTTTTTTCAGTGCTGAGGATCGAACCCAGGGCCTTGCACATGGTAGGCAAGCTCTACCACTGAGCTACAGCTCTAGTCTTCCCACTTAGAATTTTAAAACTGAACTAAAGGCTGTCATAATCTGACAACATGTTTTAAATCTCATTGGTCATTTTAAACCCCATGTGATTGCAATGAAATACTACTGTACTACTGTACTACCCAGTAATAAAAACGAACGAAGTATTGGGGTGGGGTGTGGTTCCAGTGGTAGAGCACATGCCTAGCAAGTTTGAGATCCTGAGTTCAAACCCCAATACAGCCAAAAATAAGAATAGAGTTGGACCCTTACCTTACACCACATTAAAAAAATTAGCTCAAAGTGAATGAAAGACCTAAACATAACAGTTAAACTAAAAACTCTTAGATGAAAATGGGGCAAAATCTCTAGAATATTGGATTTTTTTATTGTTATACTGGGAGTACATTGTGGTATTTACAAAAATTCTTTAAATATATTAAATATATTGCAGTCAAATTCACCTCCTCCATCATTCTCCTGTATCTCCCAGCCCCATTTCTGGAATAGTTTCAACAGGTCTCATTTTTCCATTTACATATATGTATACACAGTATTTGCATTATATTCACCCTCCTATATCCTTTCCCCATGTCCTCCCAGTGGTACCAACCCCCAGAAAGGACCTGTTCTGCCCTCCTGTTCTCTGATTTTGTAAAAGAAAAAAAAAAGACATTTTTCCTGATTTAAGATAGCTACACAGGGAGTTTCCTCATGACATTTCCATATATATATTTATTATAACCCAAATTGATTCATCTGCTCTATATTTCTCCTTTCTACTTTAGTCCCCTTCTTATGGAGATTTCAGTAGGTTTAAAAAATCTATATTCATTCTTGTATAAGAAGTACATCAGCCATATTCACCTTGTTAACTTCCTTCTTTTACCCTCCCTCTCGTACATGACCTCCCCTTAGCATGACCTGTTTTTCATAATATCGCCTATATTAGGTCGATATTCCACATATGAGAGGAAAATGAGGCCATTGGCTTTCTGAGTCTGGCTAACTTCACTTAAGGTGATGTAGATCATTGCATTGCTAGGACCCTATCCTCAGGGTTTCCATGTGAACAAGACAAATGGACCTTCCCAACAAGACACAGAGCAAAAGCAGCCTGGTTCCAGCCTCCCTTGTGTGAAATGTGTCTTTCCCCTTGGGTCTGACTTAGGTGGGAACAAGAGGGCTGGAAAGCCTTTCATGGGGAAGTGGGTCTAAGTTAAACAGGAAGTGGATCCTCATTGGGCAACTTGGGGGGCTGTTGTCCCATTTTCTGGGACAACCTGTCCATTTGCTTCCTCCATCATTTCCTTGTACTGACGTTTGAAGAAGCCAACCTGTGGAGAAGAAGAAAATCAGGAAATCCAGGAGAAGATATGACTGGGGGAGGGGGAACAATGGCCATTTCTAGAACCCTGACTATGTTGGCAGCACTAGGAACCTGTACACATTGTGTCATTTAGATTTAGATAAGGTCTGCAGGTGTGGCTCAGTGGTAGAGTGCTGGCCTCTCAAGTATGAGGCCCTGAGTTCAAACCCCAGTACCACCAAAAAAAATATACAAGATTCTGTGAACTGTAAGCAAAATTACCTCCACACACACTCACACACACACACAAAAAAAAAAACAAGACTGAGAGTGGACCAGACACTTTCCTGGAAAGGAAGAATCAATGAATCAATGGTATGAGTGTTCCAACCCAGGCCAAGGGGAACACACAGAGGTGGAGAGGGTGGAAAAGAAAGGGAGAGATGTAAGAGGACGTCTGAGAATCAAGTCAGAAGGCCTGACATGGGGGACAATTTGAGGCTGGGAACAATTCACAAATGTGAGTTTCTCACATAAAGTGACCCAGACAAAATGTATATCAGACTCGAGAATGATCAGATTCTGATGTTGGAGTAGATAAAACACTCACCTTGTACAGGGCAGCTGTAATGAGAGCCAGCAGCAGCAGACCTCCCACAGAGCTTCCCACGATGAGGGGAACTGGGTTGTGCACCTCATATTTCTCCAGCACTGTCTTCACCTGATGGGGTGGAGGTGACTCTATCAGAAAGCATCAGGCTTCTTGCTCTCTCAGACTCCCCTGGGCTATGTCTTTATCTCCTTTCTTTCTTCCCCCATGCTTTGCTCCAATGGGTGAGATGCAGAAGCACTTGTGTTTTGGGGGGGTCACTGTCCCACACAGGGACCCTTCTCCCTTCAGGCTGACAAATCCCCAGCCAGCACTCTACACTTAGCATCAGGAGCCTTCTCCCAGCCTGACCACTGCCTACCACACAGCCATTACCTGGGCTCTCAAAAATGCCTCCTGTCTTGGGAGCTGGGAATACACAGATGTGTTGAATGTGATTTCAGCCACACTCACGACCTCCACCTTCTTCTGCAGTGTCTGCAAAGGGTGTTTGGCAGGGGGGACTGAATAATTGGATCTGAGGGACGCTCAGGGCTCAAGAAACGTCCTGGCCTGAGGAAGGTACAAGCCCATCAGGCCCTGCGTGGATCTGGGGGATGGGCTCTGTTGTTGAGCCTACATACCTGGCTGACCCAGCTGAAGCTGAGGTTGCCTTTCAGGACAAAATCAAGTTGCTCCTGAACACTGAAAGAGGGGATGTCACAGCGAAACTTCAGACAGTCAGCAATGGAGCAGTCCTAGGAACAGAAAAGTGGTATTGGAGGAAGATGAATTTGAAAGTGGAAGACAGCATTAAACTATGAGACTGGAAAGGAGCAGTCACAGCTGAGTAGCGGGTGTCCATCAGATGTAACAAAAGTCCTCTGATGGGTGGCTTAAGGTGGAGAACAGCCCAGAGCCCTCCTCACCAGCACAGGATTTTTCTGCATGTGAGTCAGGAAGTCAGACTGTGTGAGGACTAGTCTCTCTGAAGAGCACTGGACCAGCGGGTTCTAGGAAAAGACATGGAGACAGCAATGTCTCATACACTGGGGACCCATGAGGAACACAGGCCACCCAGCTACTGGACATGCACAGAAAAAGCAACACACGGTCTTTGAGTACCTGGGGGTGGGAGACTGCCACCCCCGTCCACACAGCTGCTCCATTCAGCTCCACAGGCACCAAGAAGTTGATGCTGACTGGCAGTTCCCTCTGTCCCAGGTTATGCACCTGCTCAGAGGCAGACAGGGCAGAACCCAAGTCAAACTCCCATCCCTCCCTACCGTCCAGTTCCAGGCCCCTGCCCAGCCCAAGCTGCCGAGTCTCCACCACCTGCCTGGTATCCATGCTTGGCCATAATGCTCCCTTCCTCCTCAGATGCTGAGAAGTTGAGGTAATTGGTGGATTGTTCAAGGCTGAAGAGAGAAGAGGCATGAATGGGTGAGAAGTCCCATGGGGCCTCCTGAGGAGGGTCTGGCTCCAGCATGATGGGACGGGTGGTCAGTGGGGCCTTGATGTTGCCTGGAATAGGGTCTGTGGCTAAGTCAGTTAAAGTAGGGTCTAGTGGGCAAGGTCAGGCTCAGGATGAGTTGAGGTGCGCGCAGAGCGACTACTCAGGAGGAGAGCAGGAGGAATAGTGAAAGGAACTGAGAGCTGTGCTCCTGACTTGCTGGGAACAGAGGGCCACAGCTTGCCCCTATCTGTACCTTGGTTTTCTTTGCAGTCATTCCTGGATGGGTAGGATGCTGATGGGAAACTCAGGCTGATACTGCCGACCACATGCCCCGCCCTTTTTCTAGACTCCCACAGGCCTCCCCTGGGCCCTTCTCTCCCATTTCTTTGGCCTCTTCCTGGGACTTGGAGGTGGAGGGGGGGGAGAACCAACAAGGACTCATCACTGGGTCTGAATGTCACAATGCCTCCTGAGGCCTACTGGACCCAAGCCTGGATACATAGTAGCCAACAGGGACCCTCACATGGTGACTGGTCTCAGCTCTGCCCCTCACTGTTACATTTCTCAGGTACCTCTCCTTTGCCTGCAGAGTTGAAATTCTAGCCACCACTTCTACTCTTGCAGCAGGCTGGATAGGCATAGAGGAAAAAGAGACAGATTACATGGTGGCTGGAAGTCGATGGCACAGCAGGGTATCATGTGACCATCACAGTGAAACACAAGACCACCCAAGACCAGCTGGGACCAACATGTCTGTCTGAGACCACCACTAACTCTCCTTTGCTTCACTGCAATGATATCTCCATACTATTAGCTTGCAGAATTAGCTGTTCCTGTCATGCATCTTATGCCAGACATTCCCAAAACCCCATATTAGGACAGAAAAGGGGAAGAAAAACCCTATTTCAAGATTTCCTGACCCATTTCTGGAATTCCTGCCTCAATGTATGAATAATCATTGCCTCCATTAAAATTTAACTATAAGACAAGCTATCCGTAACCCCAAGATGTCTCTGTCTCTCTCTCTCTCTCTCTCTCTCTCTCTCTCTCTCTCTCTCGTACTTGGACTCTAAAATAAAACTTCTTCCCCCTGGGTAGAGGTCTCATTCTCTGAACTCTCCCCAGCCTTCACCCACCAGCCACACTGGAGTTTCATTCTTGACTCTGTCAAAGGACTCTCCCTAAAATGGCCCATGCTGGCCCTGGGGGTCCCTTTGAAGAACCCAACTCACAGAGTCACATTTTCAGAGTGTGGCTAAACTATAGGGCCACAAATACCTAGAAGTGGTGTGCCCTGCCGGTGGGTGGCCTGCAAGGTGTGAGAACCACAGTGTACACCCCAGCAAACAAGCTCAGAGCATGCCCCTGCTTGGGGCCCCAAATATTCAGGTGCAAATGAGAGTGTGAAACACTAAGTAGAAAGGCATGTCCTGTAAGAGCAGGGGGTTATTTTATTTTATTTTTTATGTTTATTTTTAGGTACTGGAGATTGAACCCAGGGCCTTGCACTTGCTAGGCAGGAGCTCTCCACTTGAGCCACACCCTAGTCTTTTTGGTTTTTGTTTCTGTCGTTACCATTCTGAGATTTGAACTCAGGGCCTTGCGCTGACTAGGCAAGTTTTCTACCATTTGAGCCACACCTCCAGCCAAGCATTTTTTTGAGATAGGATCTCACTAACTTTGCCTGGGCTGGCCTCAAACTTAAGATTCTCCTGTCACTGTCTGACAAATAGCTGGAATTACAGATATGCATCACCATGTCTGGCTATATGTTCAGTTTTGATTTCTGAACTTAGGAACTGAACAAATTTTTTTGAATGTCAAATCAATTTATAAAAACCACAGCACCATGCTTGGCCACATAGCAAACACTAAGAAGGCACTTGTTAGAAGAAGGCATCTGCTCAAACACTTGAACACTTCTTACTTTCAAACACTCACCTACTTCTCCTTGGGCAGCACTGTAAGGCTCTATCATTTTATCCAGCATCTGCCTGACCCCCATCCTCTGATGATCTGTGGCAGGCAGATGATTGATCCCCTATTCTTGCCAAAGGGGAAAAGTAGGAAAAGGTTCTAAAAGCCCTACAGGGTTTAAATTTGTTCTTACAAAGAAGAACCGAGTGCCAAAGGCCCCTTTGAGAATCACACCACTGGCCAAGCCCAACACGCTAGCTGGGGCCTCCCCTTACTGCAGGCTTCACCCCTCTCTTGGAAACTCAGTGCTATAGTTTGTATCTTGAATGTCCCCCAAAAGCCCATATGTTAAAGGCTTGGTCCCCAGGGTGGTGCAAATGGGAAGTGGCCGAGCTGTTAGGAGATAGGGCCTAGTAGGGGGTCCTTAGGTAATTAGGGTTGTGCCAACAAATGGGATTATGGAACCACAGCCCTTCCTCTTTTTTTGCTTCCTGGTCATGAAGTGAGCAGATTTTCTTCACCACACACTTCCACCATGATATGTCACCTCATTACAGGCCCAAAGCAATAGGGTCAACTGATCATGGATGGAACTTCCAAAATTGAACCAAAACAAACCCTTTCTCTTTATAAATCGATTTTCTCTGGTATTTGTTATAGTGATGGAAAACTGATTCACACACCACATCATCACAGGCCCTTGATGAGACTCTAGTTTGGATCATTGTAACCTTGCTCCCCAGAAATGCTAAGAACCTCAAAACAAGGACTCATCTCATATGTCTTAGTTAACCCAAGAGAATTTTGGGATTGTCACAGGCCTTCTGAGAGCAACAATCTATGTTAAATGTAGAATATAATGATAATGACCTCACAATTCTTATTATCATAGTTGGCCCACAGTAAACACTCACTGGTGAATAAACCCAGCTAGCAGTGTCACCTACACTTGAAAGGAAAGAATGACAGTAAAACCTAAAATATCCCAGATGCTCAGCCACTGCAGGAAGTGATGACCATCCCTTTGCCCCAAAGAGGGTGATGAAGAAGAGCTCTTTGTGGTCCCAAATGGGGTACCTGCTAATCACAGTGTAGACAGCATACTTCACTGGGAGCTCCAGCTGGAAGGTGCTTTTGTGGGTCCTGGGTGTGTTATTCTCACTGGAGAAAGATGAAAGACCCAGTTGGCAAGGGCCCCAGAGAGTGAGGATGGGCTGCGAGGTTGGGGATGAGAAGGGTGCCACTCAGCTCACCTGCTCACATTGGCTGTCAGAAGCAGCCGGTCTCCCAGCACAGCTTTAGGGGCAACATCGAAAGTAGCCAAGAAGGTAACCTGAGGAAAAGGGAGGAAGGAGGAAGTCACAGAGGAGTAAGGCAGGATGGGGACAGGGAGGAGAGTGGGCAGATCCCAGGCTGACCTTTGTGCCCCCACGGAAGATGAGGTGGTTGATGCGGCAGCTGGTGCTGCGGATGCCCTGGCTGTCAGCTGGGGTGCTGTCACAGGTCAGGCTCACAGGGCGCCTCTGCAGTTGGTTCTAGCCAAAGCAGGCAAAAAAAAAAAAAAAAAAAGACAGACAAATGAGTGTTTATTTGTGCTCCAAAGAGACTCCATAATACAGGGACACCGTCTCCTGGAAACTAGCATAGGTCTATGCTACCTCCCATCTCACAGGTCTCTTCCTTCCCCAGAAGGAATACCTGGGCCCCTGTCACTCGTCGATAGGACAGCCCTGCTGGGTAGAAGAAGGTAACTGTGGTTCCAAAGGAATCTTCACCATCATTGGACACTGTCACTTCCGCATTCAGCTCCAGATTACTCCCCACCACCAGGGTTTTCAAGCTGGGTGTTGGGTGGGAGGAGGAGATACTTCTGTAACTGAGGCTAGAAATGTTCTGGGGATGATAAGTGGCATGGGGAGATGGAAGATAACAAGAGATAGGACACCTGGGTTCTTAGTCCCAGATCTGAGAGTGACAGAGAAGAGGCCAGAGCCCCAGGTCCTAGAAGGGAGGCTGAGGATGTAGAGCAGATCAAAGGGGTGGAAGCTCACCCTGGTAAGCCAACAGTGATGCCAAGGTCATCCTGGCAGACGTGGTCAGCTCCACAGTTCTTCTCAAAGGGAAGCTAAGAGAAAAGCAATGTAGGGTGTTCTGGAGATCCAGAGCCCATCCTGTGCAGCCTTCCCTGGGGAACCCCAACACCACATGAACCCAACTCACAGAGGCTGTGAAGTATGTCTGGGCGTCTGCAGCCAACACAGGCCGGAGGTTTCTGAAGGAAGGGACTGGCTGACCCATCAGAGAGAAGTTGAGGCGCAAGATGATGGGGGTCACTGGGTCCTCCACACAGGCCTAGAGGATGGGCATTGAATAAGAAGCGATTTAGGAAAACACTGCACAGCTACCAGCTATGTCCATCTTAAAGGGGCAATGATGATCCCTATATGCGCTCAATTAATTTGTTATTACCCCACTAAGCAGCCCCCTCACTTTACCCAGCATCTTCTCAAACTGCCCCCCTCCCAGAGGCCTCTCAAACTCTGGTTTTATCTCTCCTCCTAGCATTTATTACTGCCTGACATACATTATCTAGGAACTTGTTTGTTTTGAGTTTTCTCCCCAACCCAGGAGCTCCCTGTGGACCATGACTGTTTTGTCCCTTCTATGTCTCTAGTCCCTGTCCCAAAGGAACAGAACCATATTTGCTCAAGGAATGCCTGAATCAGCCTGGACCTGCAAAGTTCTCTGGAGCTATTCTCTTTCTGGAAATCCAGCTGTGCCACCTCTGGCCATTGCAACCAGCCTTATTCATTCATTCACTCATTCAGCTAACATGTATTAAGTGCCACCTGCATGCCAAATCCTCTGCTGAGGCTGAGCCCCAGGGAGAAGCCAACCCACTATCCACATTCTCCCCAATGTCTATCTGAGGCCCTCTCACCGGAAGGAGCAAGTCCACAACCTCACAATGTTGATTCAGCCCAAGGATCCGGACTCGGGTCAGAGTCCGGGTCCTTCTCTCCTTGAAGATGGCACGGGGACTCGGGCGGCCAGGGTCAAGGGCCAGGTCAAAGGTCACAGAGCTTTGAAGGTTACCTGTAGGGGGGTAAGCCCATGCATGATGAGGGCTGAGAGAGCCAGAAACTCCCCAGGTGGGCAAAGCAGGAGGTGGGAGAATGGTTTCAGAGGTCAGGGCATCCTGGGAAACAGGGCAAGAGGACTCACCTAATTTGTACTTGGAGGTTTCAGAAATATGAAGACAGACAGTGGCATTGCCCAGTGCCTGGACAGAAGCCATCTCGTCCTGACACTCGAACACAGACCTGGCAACCACTGCAGGTGTGAAACTTATGGTCACTGACATTCTGAGGATAGGTCTGGTCCTGTGGGCAGAATGCAGAGCTGAATCACCACTGGCAATGGGGCAGAGGGTGGGGGTCCTAATCTGGACCTAGGACCAATGGGGATATCTGAGGAGGCTGTTCTTACCTGAGCAGCAGTACATGTCCCTGGGACCCCACGGCCAGATCCACCAGCCCATCCTGAGTGAGGTCCTGACCCCCACTCAATGACTGCCCAAAATACTGGAGCCTGGAAGAGAGCTGGGAACTGGCGATCCTCTGTCCAGAAGAGAAGGTAAGCACAGTTGGAGGGACGGAGCTGTGATGGGGGAGGGAATGCTGTGGTTGGGGAGGGAGCTGTGGTTTGGATGTGGTCTGTTCTCTAAGAGTTCACGTGTTCAAGGCTCAGTGTGTCACAGCCTTTGAAAGTCAAATGGGATTGGGTCATTGGGGAGCATTGTTATGGGGGGGGGAGGATTAAGTCGTTCTTATGCAATCCCAGTTAGGTCCTGAGAGAGTAGTTATAAACGAACAAGGCTGACCCCTCAGCCAGACATGGTGGCACATGCCTGTAACCCTAGCATTCAGGAGGCAGAGGCAGGAGGATGGTGAGTTCCAGGAGAGCCTGGGATAGTGAAATCCTGTTTCAAAAAAAAAAGTTCAAAAAAATTCCTCTGTTTTCTTTGGCTTCCTGTGGTCTCTCCTCACACACACCTACCATGAGGCCACCCACCAAGATGTAGTTCAGCCAAAGAGCCCTTGCAAGAGCCAGCACCATGCTCTTTGGACTTTCAGTCTCCAATACCGTGAGTTAAATAAGTGTCCTTTCTTATATATTACATACCCTCAATTATTTTGTTATATCAACAGAAAATGGACTAAAACGGGGTAAGGACACAAGTTTAAAATATGCAACATGAGAAGTAGAGAAGTGAGGATGTAAGAGAAAGAATAGGTGAATACTAAAAAGAGGCCACAAAGAAGGACCTAGAAAGAAGAGATGAGTAGGAAACGATGACCGGAGAAAAGAAAGTGAAGAAGGGGAAGATTAGAAGGTGACAAGTCTTGGTGGTAAGTTTCATTCCCTGGTTGCAATTCTGACTCCTGCACTTATGAATCCTAAGGCCTTGGAAAAGGGCTCAATTTTCTGTGCTGTGATTTCCTCATCTCTCACATGGGGAAAGTAATACCTCAGGGTTTAGCTACAAACATAAGATAAACTCATATAGTTCTTGGAACTGCACCTGGAGTGTCACCCACAGCCAGTAACATCTCATGAAAACTAAGGCCAAAAAGGACCTCAGAGCTCATCTAATCTTGTCTCCCATTTCACAGATAAAGGAGAAAAGTTTGGGGGACTGTGCCAAACTCATACAGAGGCTGATAAAGACCTGAAATCAGATTTTCTGACTCCAAGCCTCAGGCCCCTTTTATGCTGTCTCTTCAAAGGAAAAGGAAAGACCCAGGTAGGATAGGGAGTGACTGCACTCAGTCCCAGATTCTACCTTCCTGGGCAACACCTCCCTATAGGTCCTTTTTCCTTTACTTCCATTATTCTTGTAATGTCTAATGCCCTAGAGAATGTGCCCTTTAAGTCCCTGGCACTGTGGGGACTTGCAGACATTATGAGTAACAACAACCACTAAGGCAATCTTAGAAGGACAGGTAGAGACAGAAATAACACAACACAGTCAAGCGGCCAACACCAGGGTCCTCTCACTCCAAATAACAGATCTCATCGCTGAATTCTGCTGCTCAAAGTGAGACCCATGAGGGGCAACACAAGCTCGTGTTGGGACTTGTGATGAGTGGAAAGAAGGGAAAATCATGGTGGTCAGTGAGTCCAGAAGGTTTCCTCCTGGGGTCAAGGCCTGTGGGTAAAACCCAAGTGATGCTTGTCCTCAAGGGTCTACCCAGATACACTTCTAAGCCATTTTGGCACAAGAAAAGTTAAACAAATTGGTGCTGACTGCATGCAGTTTCATGTTATTCTCAATAAGGTCTTTCACTCTCTTCTCTAGATCCTCTCCCAGTTGTTAAATTATAACAATCATAGGAACAATAATAGATTATATTCATATAACACCTATTATGTACCAGGTACTGTTTGTAGCACCTTACTTGCACTAACTCCTTTAATCCTCCCAGGAGCAGCCAGATGAAGCTGGCTCTATTATGCCCACCATTTTACAGATAAAGAAATTAAACACAGAGAAGCGAGTACTTGTCACTTTTCTCATCTCTGTGACAAGATACATTAGAAAAACAACTTAAAGAAAGAAGGATTTATGTTGGCTCATAGTTTCTGAGGTTTCAGTCCATCATAGCAGAGATGCATGGTAGAGCAGCTCACCTCAGGGTAGCCAGGAAGCAGAGGGAAGAAGGGAGAGAGGGAGTCAGAGACAGAGACAGACAAAAAGAGAGAATGCCTGGACTAATGAGGGCTTTCTTGATTTTCCTTTTTTATTCTATCTAGGTCCCTAGCCTATGGAACAATGCTGCCCAGATTTAGGGAAGGTCCTCTCCGCTGAATGAATCCTCTCTGGAAACACCCTCACAGACGCACCCAGAGGTTTGCTTTACTAATCTCCTAGGAGTTTCTCAAACCAATGAAGTTGTCAATCAAGATTAACCATCATAGTCATCAGCCTGACCAACACCACACAGCCTGACCAACACCACACAGCTATTGGCAGAAGCAGAGGGACCTTCCTCGGTACTTTTATTGGAGGGGGGGAAGTTTGTTTGTTTGTTTTTGGAGATGTCATTCACATACTGTACAATTCACATCTCTAAAGTATACAACAAAGTGGTTTTTAGCATGTCCACAGAGTTGTGAAACCATTACTGCAATCAATTTTAGAACATTTTCATCACCCTAAAATGAGATCCTATTCCTGTTAACAGTCACCCCCATGCCCTTCATTCCCCCTAACACCCAACCCTAGGCAACCACTACTCAATCTGCTTCCTGCCTCTATGCATTGCCTATTTTGGACATTTTATATAAATGTAATCATACAATATGTGGTCCTTTGTGACAGGCTTCTTTCACTTAGCATAATGTTTTCAAGAATCAGCACCTCATTCCTTTGACACCAGTGTATGGGTATGCCACATTTAACTGATCCACTCATCAGGTGATAGACATTTGGCTATTATGAATAACTCTGCAATGAGCATTCATGTACAAGTTTTGTGTGGACATATTCTCAGTTCTCTAGCAGTAGAATTTCTAGATCATATGGCAACTCTATATTTACTCTTTTGAGCAATTGCCACACTGTTTTCCAAAGCAGCAGCACCAATTTTATATTCCCACTAGCAGAGCACGAGGATACCAAATTCCCCACCAACACTTGTGATTGTCAGCCTTTTTGATTCTAGCCATCCTACTGAATATGAAATTGTCCTTCACTGTGATTTTTCATTTGTTTGTTTGTTAATACTGGGGCTTGAACTCAGGGTCTGGCACTTGCTAGGCAGATGCTCTATCACTTGAGCCACACCCTCAGCCTGAGTGGAGCTGGATAAAGACCCTCCTATTTATGCCTCCCATGTCCAGCTTTTTAGTTAAGATGAGCCAAGCTAACTTTTCTCCCTGTCTGGCCTTGAACCTTGATCTTCCCAATGTCTGCTTTCCAAATAGCTGGACTTACAGGCATGAGCCATCACACCTGGCCCCTCAATAGAGTTTTCATTTGCTGATGCCTGGTGATGAATGCTATTAAACATTTTTTTCATGTGTTTATTAGCCCTTTGTTAATCTTCTTTGAAAAAAATGTCTATTCAGATATTTGTGTATTTTTAATTGGGGCTTCCTTAATATTTGCCAAGGAAAGCAGCTCTCCCTTCTCGGGGAACCCTGTTCCATTGAGTGAAGGGCTCTTGTCTGATGACCACTGGTTGCAGGGATGGAAAAATTCATATACCACTCAGGGAGATGAAGAGGCAAGAAGACAGACAGATTGAGGCAGCAAGACCCAAACAGATGAGTAACAGAGAACCACTGAGAGACAAAGCACTGGGGTAGAAGTCAGAGACTAGAACTTCCCTAATCCCCATCTCTACTCCACCATGAACCTTGGACAAATCAAGTCACATCTGTAAAATGGATTTGCTGATGCCTTCCCTGTGTACCTGTAAGGCTGCTAGGGCATTAAAAGGTCTGGGTGGGCAACTACTCAAGTATCAAATACTGATACAAAACAGTATGTGTACAAGTAAGTGTTCTCATTTTTTAATACCACAGGTTTAACTTGCTGCAAAATGCCTAGGGCTGGGAAAGTTGTAAAGTGAAGGCAGAGGGGAAGATTTTCTAGGTGGCTGTGAGAAAGGTAGAGAAGGAAAGAGAATTTTTCATAGTAACAGGAAAGAGTGATGGCCTTACCTGGCTGTGCAAAAGGCCAATGTCCAGTCCTGAGACCCCATGAAATATGTAAACAGCACCCCGGTTCTCTTGTTCTCCAGGGGCTCCGATGGCCACATCTGTCAGCTCATCCCCGTTCACATCCCCCAGCACTGTCAGAGTTGCCCCAAAGCGGCCCCAAGGATGGCCCTGCTCCCCATGGAGGACAGTCTCACACTGCCACTTGCTCCACTGCAGAACAAAACCAGTGCCAGGCCCAACCCAGACCCTTCCACCCTACACCCACCCCCAACCAGCCCAGGTCCCAGCTGCCACTCACCCTGGGCATGGAACACACAGACACCTGGCCCCCTCGGGTCTGCTCGTAGTAATGGGGGGCCCCAATAAGGATCAGGTCAGTGTCGCCATCTCTGTTCACATCCACGGAGCAGAGAGCAGCTCCAAAGTAAGAGCCAATCTGGAGGGCAAAGCTTATAGTCACCTACCTGTCCCACCAGAGGCATCCCTTCTGGACCAGGTCCCAAATTTTCCCAGCACCAGGATCTCCCCCATGGAGGCCCTTCATCTCCTTCTCCACCCCTGGCCATACTGCTCACCCTCATGACTTCCTCCATACCAACCTGGGTCCCTGTGACTTCAGTGTTTGGCTCCCACTTTTTGGATTCCTGGGTGAAGATGACAACCTTCCCGGTGTGCTGGTGGCGAGGAGCCCCCAGGACCAGGCTCTGTATCCCTTTCCAAAAGGCCAGCTCAGCAGAGTAACCTGAGAGGGCCAGGCCTCAGCTCCAAGACTCCTCTTCCCTTTCCCAACAGCTCATCACCACCCCCCGTCCCCCGCAGCCTTCCTCACCCAGGTAGGAGTCCCTCATGTCCACACTCTCCTGAGACATGTTGATGAAGATGGGGTTGCCATTTGAGGGATACAAGAAGGCACCTCCAGACCAGCTGAAGCTCCCCACGGCCCCCAAAACTGGTCCATCCTGGGAGGAAAGGATTCCAGGGCTGAGCAGGCTGAAGCAAGAAGACAGCCCAAACCAAAGAAAGCCTATCCCTGACTCCACAGAGCTATCCCCCACCCACCCTGTCTCCCTCCTCCCTCCTTTCCCTCATTCTATACCCACAGTCTGAAAGGGGCCACTCACAGGTGTGAACAGGGCACTGAATCCATCCTGGGACATCTCAAACTCAAAAGAACTACTGCTTCCAGTCTCTGTACCTGGAGAAAGCATGATGCTTGGGTTTCAGAAAGAAAGATGAGCTTTGCCAGATCTAAGAAGGATTGTTAGTGAATCAGTGATTGGAGCCCAACACCTATAGGAGGGTCAGAGCCTAGGATGTGAGGATCTTGGTTCAAAATGGAAAGCCATTACAAATGAGGATTTCTGATGCAAGTAGCTCCATCTCTGACTTACCCTCAATGGCAAAGATCTTCTCCTTCAGCTGGTTTTGAATATCCTTTAGAGCACCAAAGTTCTCTACATGAAATATGTGTTCATGGGAAGGCTTAGATGCAATGTTGTTTAATTCATTCCAGGAATGTGCACTTTGAAAAGCTTTTCCAACCTGTTCCCAGTAAAGAACAACTCACTGAAAGTAATGAGCAGAATGTGCCTGTCTTCCAAGAACCCTGCAGGGTCAGTCTTATAACACATATGAGAAAAACAGGCTTAGATGGCATCAAGTTTAAGGAAAATGATGATGGGTGCCTAGGCTGGGACAGAGTTCTCTTCTTGAAGGCAAGAGGAGAGAGTGGAGTTTTCTACCCTTGAAAGGAAGGTGCCTGGAGAGAAAGGGATGGGAGGGAGGAAGTGGGGGTTAGCCATTGCCAAAACTTACCCCGATTGCATAGCGGATGATTCCTGCCTTCTCAGCCTTGGGTATGACATCATTATAATCCTTGTTGTCACCTTCTTTCTTCCCATCGGTGATGACAATGAGAATTTTGGTGGCATCTTTGCGGGCTCCATTTCGGGCAGTGAACAGTTCCTCTCTGTCAGGAAAGTAGTGGATCAAGAGGCCTGTGAACAAAACTACGCTAGGCATCAGCCTTTATGAAAATGAGGCCACGCCCCTTCCTCTGGGAATCCTGTTCCACTAGAGGCCCCAAAGTCCACGAGTGGGTCATGGGCTACATTTCAGATTCCACCTATTCCTTTTGGGGAGAGGCAGATGAGGTCCAAAGCAAGGCGTGGATGCTTTGAGTAATGATGTGGGAGAGGCATGCACTCACGTGACCCTACTGATGGCTGTGGCTGTCCACGTGTATCCGCCCAGCTGGTTTACAAAATCCAGCAGGCGCAGAGGATCTGAACTGGAGGTGAAGTCGTTGAAAGTGAAGTGTGTCTTGAATTTGTTGGAGAACTGCATCAGGGAGAACTGGGAGAACCACCTGGGGCTGAGGGCTGAGGCTACTTCCTTAGGGACCCAGCACTTCCCCAGCAATGCCCTGCAGACTGGCCTCCCTCCCCCAAGGACACACCTGGGCATGGGCGCTCGATCTCCGGAACTGGCTCATCACAGCCCTCACAAAGTTCATCATTGTGGCAAAACTGCCTGCGGTGATGCTGCCTGAGCCATCAATCAAGAGCACGATGTCCTGATCCTGCTTGGGACACTCTAGGGAAGGAGAGGCTCTGGTCCTCCAAGGATCTCTCCCAAGAGCCTGGGACCTTGACTTCCTGGGCACTAGAACTCACTCTCCTAACCTCCTTCCCCAGCCCCAGTACAGCCCCATAGCTCAGGTCCTCTCCTTGTCAGGAGCAGGACTTCCCCAGTCCCCTGCTAGAGATGCTCTGGAGTCCCTAAAGTCTCATAAAGAGGCCACAACTGTGACTGAGCTGCTTCACCCTTCACAGTCGGTCTGGTAGATCAAAACTCAAAATTCCTCCCAATCCAGAGTGTGAGCAGTGAGAGCCTTCTCATTCCACCGTGGCCATCCACACTCCTGTCCCTGGGCCTGACCCCACCTATTTCCAAACACCCTCACATCCAGCCACAAAAGGGTCCTGCCTGAGCCCTGGTCATGTCTGCACATATTGGTTGAACTGTAGTTTTGTTCAATAGTTTTAATTTCATCCCTGGAAAGAGCTACATACTGGCCCTGTTCTAGTCTCAGCTTCTCTATGGGCTCCTACTCCCATCCTGAGCAAAAGCAGAATCTGTCCTCAGAAGACACTCTTCCAGCACAGAAGGGGAGACTCCATTCCATTCCTGCCTCCATATTCCCCTTCTGCATCAGGGGCCTCACACCATACCCTGGGAGTTCTCATGGCTCCTAAGAATGGAATCTAGAACAAAGTTGGTGTTGAGAGGGGCACTGTCAGTCTCGCCAAGGGCTTCAGAGTGGATGCAAAACCAGGGAGTGACATCAGTCTGCTGTGGGTTGGGTTTGAAAAGCCCACTTTTCCACTTCCTTGTCTTCCATTCCCATCAGCAACAGAGAAACCAAGTCCTGTGCCTCGTCTTGCAGGAGCACATGCAAGCACACACACACGCATGCACATATACATGAACAAACACATATACAACATGCACACATATGCGTATATACACATGCACACATGCACATACACACAATGAATGCATGTGCAAATATACACACATGCCCACAGGTACATGCACACATGCACATATACACACATGTATGCATGCACATATGCACAAACATGCATATATGCCCATACCCACACAGCTCAGACAGCACCCTCCCCAAACTTTCCCAGACTGCTGCACAAACCAGTTGGTTATATCCCAAGGTACAACAGAGGAAAATGAGTTCCCATCTCTCTAAAAGCAATAGAAGCCTGCATTAATGGAAACCTCACCTCGTGTCAGCCCTTGTGCAAAGCCCTGGCCAAGGATCGTCTCATGTTACTTTCAGTGTTGCGTGTGCTATTATTCCCATATGACAGATGAAGAAACTGGGGCTCAGAAAGGGTGAGGTCATGGGAAAGACTGGAAAGCTGTGGCGCAGGGTATCAAAGCAGACAGTAACTCTCCAGCTGTGTTGGAGCCATTACACTGTCCCTTCTTTCTTATTCCACTGCACCCCCAGTTGGATATGTGTGGGATCCCCAAACACTCACCCCGCAGGGCCACTGGGAACCTTTGCTCCTGCAGGAAGGACGAATCCAGCAGGAAGCAGAACCCAGTCAAGTGCATGTTCTCTCTGCATGCATGGTGCACAGTGGGGCCACAGGCCTAAGGGACAGAGGGGACTGCTGGGAGGGGCTGTCTCTGCTCCCACTCACCCTCTCATCCCAGTACTTCCACTCTGCAGAAGACTCCCAGCTCCAGGAGCCCAAGTCCCCATCCTCCCTGCAAGACCCTTCTGTGATCCAAGTCAGCTCACCAGCAGCCGAGAGGGGTTGGTGGCAGCTGCCAGGGACAGGCCCAGGGACATGTTCACAGCCTCTGGGGGCACTGAGGAGACAGAAATGTGCATGGTCATCCTTGGAGACAGAGAAGAGTGTACAAGAACTCAGCAGGGTCACCTTTACCTGAAGACAATGAGCCTGTCAGGTGAAAGGGGCTTCCAGGTCTTGGTGGAGCTGAGGGAGTGCAGGGCTGCAATGGGTGGGAGGCACTGAGGGGTGTGCAGACAGAGCTGAGGTTGGCAAGTGAGACTACTATGGTCTCCACAGGTCCCAATGCCTGGGAGCCTGGTGCTGGAGCCCAGGCAGGGGCAGTGGCTTACCCTGTAACTGGACGGTCTGGCACCTGCCCGTGTGGTAGTTACAGTGGTACAGGCCACCTGTTTGGTTAGAGGCCCGTATCTCTTTGGGGGCTCCAACTACCACCCTGTGGGAAGACAAAAAACACTGCAGTTAAGAGCTTAGACACCAGAAAAATCCAGGCACCAAGGGCTCATGCCTGTAATCCTAGCTATTTGGGAGGCTGAGACTGTAAGGAACACAGTTCCAGGCCAGCCCACGCAAAAATAAAATAAAAACCTTGTGGGACCCTCATCTCAATGGAAAAAAAAAAAAAGCTAGATGTGGTGGTGCACACCTGTCATCCTAGTGATGGTGGGAAGCATAAAACAGAATTACAGTCTTGGCTGGCCTGAGCAAAAAGTAAATCCCATCTCAAAAACAACCATGGGGAAAAAAGGGCTGAAGGTGTGGCTCAGATGGTAGAGCACCTGCCTAGCAAGCAGGAAGCCCTGAGTTAAAACCCCAGTACTGACAAAAAAAAAAAAAGTGACTAAGCACTTGCACCTGATTGCTTTACCTCTGTAAGCCTCAGTTTCCTCGTCTTCAAAATGGGAATTAAATTCTGCATAGGCGGGATTTTTATCTGTTTTGTTCTCTGGTGTATATCCCACACCTGAGACATTTAGTAAAGTGCTCAATAAATACTTGTCGAATGGCTGATTCCTCATAAAGTTATTGTGAAGACTAAATTAATGCCCACGGGTAACATGCAGGTCACAGTACCTAGTACTCAGTAAGTGCTCAATAAATGTTCGCTATGGTTATTCAGCAGCAAGACAGTGCCTATTGTCAGTGCAAATGTTCCTAAGTTGGAGGAAATTGCCACATCTGGTAGAGGGGAAGTGTGCAAGTAATACCACAGAGGTGTAGAGTTGGGGAGGCTTGGGGTTCGGTACAAGGAGAGGAACTGAGAGTCAAGGTCAGTCACCATCTGGGCCTCACCCGGAGTTGCCATACTGGACCACACTGTGACCAAACCCAGCACTATCCACAGGGAAGCTTATCACATGCTCTGTGTCCAAGTTGAAGGCCAGAGAAGAAGCAAAGCCTAGGGAAGAGTGAAAAAGAGAGGAAAGCTTTAGAAAGGGTCACCCTCCTCCTTAACCACCATCCTACCATGCTCAGCGTCACCTCCCAGGACCCCAACTTCCTGCAGTCCCCTCTGGGCCCAATATCCATGAGTCGCCTGGCCTTCTGGCTCCTGGGATCACCCCACTTCTCTCCCCATGGTGCACAAATGGCTCTTCACCCATTGCTCTACTGTCAACTTTCAATTCTCCATTCCCACCAAATGACACCCAGGCTCTTAACCCAATCCTCCCCACCTCTACCCTTGAGGCTTCTATGAGGGAGAGTCTAAGAAAACTCAAAGGCCAAAATAACACTAGCACACTGCACAAACTGAGTTGTTCTGCCTACTTTAGAAATCTCTGGGTTGTCAAGGTGGCTGAGTCTCTCCAAGCATCCCTTGAATTCTCCTCAAACTTGTTCTTCAATATCCTCTCCTGCCACAAACTCTAGATCTCAAACCTATGTCCCAGCCTCCCTCTCACATCAGGTCTCTTTCTCTACCCAGACCCTGAACTGCCAGACAGATCCCCCACTTCTGGTTCCTTGCTTACTAGGATCAGATCCTCAAGACCCCCTTCTTCAGGGTCCAGACTCACCCATCAACAGGAAGAAGACCGTGCAGGTCCTGCTCATGACTGAGAAGTCAGAGGTGGAGTTCAGTGCTCCTGGGCTGCTTCAGAAACGGCTGGACTAAGGTACTGAGGAAGCAAGTGAGCAGAGGTGGTCAAGAGGCCAGAGGCAGCAGGGGAAGTCGTCAGCATGACTCAGAGGTAGAGGGTGGAGAATAGGACAAAAATGGCCAAAGAAGTAGGTGAGGCAGCCCACACACTCCTAGTCCAGAGTTTTCTAATCAGAGATGACTTTGCTCGCTTCTCTGGCCTTACCAATGTTTGGGTGGATGCAAGTACCTGCCCTGCCTTACCCCTCTCTGTTCCCTCTTACACTGGCAGAAGGCTCCCCTTGCCCTTGAAATGCCAGCCAGCTTGGGAAGGGGAGGAGAAAGGCGCCAGTCCTTCAAGACCCTGGTAAAAATCCTCCACTTCCGGACTGGAAGTCTCTAGGCAGAGAAGTGAAGCATCTGACCCTAGGAGGAGCACAGAGTGGGTATTCATTCATTCACACTCTCATTTTTTTGTCATTTATTCAACACACCTAAGAGGAGGCTGATTGTAGGAACCCCCTGCTAGAAAAGAGAAAACATAAATCACCTAGCCCCAGTCCCGGGGTCAGTAGAGAAGGCTAATAGGTAAAAAGCCAGACAGTTGCTACAACAGGGGAAGGAGAGAGAGCACAGAGCATCTCACCTTGACTGGGAGGGTGTGGGTCTCTGGGAAGGCCCCCTGGAGGAGGAAGCACTTCGATTGAGTCTGGAGGGCAACTGAAGACCTGAGACTACAGAAGAGGCAACCAGATGTGGACCAGACATGAGAAAAGAGGCTTGTGTGTGTGAACCATGAGAGTGGGAGGTGTAAAGTGTCAAGAGATGAGGTCAGGGTCAAGGAGAGGAGAGGAGGGAGTAGCAGGCCGCAGGCCCTGGAAGTCCCCTTAAGACATGTTGGTTTTGTCCTCTGGACAGAGCATAGCATTAAAAGGAATTAGTGAGCAAGATCTTCACATTTACATTTTAGAAAGCTGGAAAATGATTCATCATAGCCAAGTTACCATCAGCCTAGGTGCCCATCAACAAGTGAACGGATAAAGAAAATATGGTATACATACACAATGGAGTTTTATTCAACTAAAGAAAAATGAAATTGTCATTTGCAGGAAAATGGGTGGAAGTGGAGATCATCATGTTAAGCAAAATAATCCAGAAAGACAAATATGGCATGTGGTCTCTCATAAGTGGAATTTGGTTGAGTGGACAGAAAAGGACATGTTCCCTCTTGCCCTCCCCTTGGCTCTGAACTCATCTCTCACTACTTCACACCTCCCATTCTCATGATTTTGTTGTTGTTAACTTAGGGAGTTGGAATTCCTTCTTTTTTATTGGCTGCATAAGGTGTAGTGCTTGAAGTACATACTCAGCATCCAACAGGATCAGAATTTCCAGACCTAAAAAATTTGGAGGCTACTTAAAAAGATGGACATCGATCTACCATTTGATCCAGCAATACCACTCTTGGGGATATACCCAAAAGACTGTTACTCCAGAGGCACCTGCACATCCATGTTTATTGCGGCACTATTCACAATAGCCAAGTTATGGAAACAGCCAAGATGTCCCAGCACTGACGAATGGATTAAGAAAATGTGGTATCTATACACAATGGAATTTTATGCAGCCATGAAGAAGAACGAAATGTTATCATTCGCTGGTAAATGGATGGAATTGGAGAACATCATTCTGAGTGAGGTTAGCCTGGCTCAAAAGACCAAAAATCGTATGTTCTCCCTCATATGTGGACATTAGATCAAGGGCAAACACAACAAGGGGATTGGACTATGAGCACATGATAAAAGCGAGAGCACACAAGGGAGGGGTGAGGATAGGTAAGACACCTAAAAAACTAGCTAGCATTTGTTGCCCTTAACGCAGAGAAACTAAAGCAGATACCTTAAAGCAACTGAGGCCAATAGGAAAAGGGGACCAGGAACTAGAGAAAAGGTTAGATCAAAAAGAATTAACCTAGAAGGTAACACCCACACACAGGAAATCAATGTGAGTCAATGCCCTGTATAGCTATCCTTATCTCAACCAGCAAAACCCCTTGTTCCTTCCTATTATTGCTTATACTCTCTCTACAACAAAATTAGAGATAAGGGCAAAATAGTTTCTGCTGGGTATTGAGGGGGGGAGCGGGAGGGGGTGGAGTGGGTGGTAAGGGAGGGGGTGGGGGCAGGGGGGAGAAATGAACCAAGCCTTGTATGCACATATGAATAATAAAAGAAAAATGAAAAAAAAAAAAAAAGAATTTCCAGACCTTCTTACTGTGTTGAACATTGCCTTAGAAATCCATTATTTGTACAATTAATATACACTAATTTTTAAAAAGAAAGTAAGGATTAAAAAAGAAAGCTAAAAAGTAAACTAAGACAGATTCATCAGGAGAAGGATGTTGGGGGCTTGGGGGTGGCCTGTGGCCATGGGAATAGCCTGGTAAGTCATGAGCTGAGGTGGTGATGAAGGTTCCTGAGCTTAAGATCACTGAGGCAGAAGGGAGTGAGGGCTATGCCAATCCTCGTTTTGAGAAAACCAAACCAGAATGTGATGTTTCAGGGCTTGGTTTATCTCAAGCTCTCTATTTCAGTTCCCTTGTTCCAGAATGAGTGACAATAAAAAGTAAACACCTCTTATTGATAATGAGAAGTTGGACTTAGTAAAAGTGAAGTGCTTAGAGGTGTGTGTGAGGGTTTTCCTTGGGTGTTATCACTGCTGTGCCATGATGTGTGTAGTAGCAGGAAGGAGGGGCCTGCAGAGCCTTCAAGAGGCAGGTGGGCAGTTGGTCTGGACCTCAGGAGAAAAGCCTGGGTTGGAGATGTGTCCTGGACCTACCAGCAGAAGCACTGGTGGAGATCCTGGTGAAGAGAGAGAAGGACAATGGGTCTGGTATAGGTCCCAGGAAGCTCTAATGGCAGGAGGCCAAGAGGAGGAGTCCTCAAAGTAGGGAAAGAAAGAACAGAAGAAAGAAGAGTGGCCAGAGAAAAGGAGGCAAACACTGTCACAGGTTGCCAGACATCAGGTGAAGAAAGAAATGAGGGAGTTCCTTGCTTGGGTGACCCTGGAGTGGGCCACACAGGGGCACAAAGTGGCCAAGCTGGCGCAGGCTATGGGTGAGGAGCATGCACACCACTATCACCTGCAGGGAGCAGCTGCAAAGAGACTTCACACAGTCTGGCTGGGACAATTCCAAGCCCCTGGAATATAGAGCTGAAGAATTTTAAGAGAGAGGGAAAAACTGGTTGAATTCTAAGAAGGAAAGGTGACAGAAAACACCACTGAAGAGAAAGGAGAAGTGTCAAGATTCTGAACACATCAGAAATGAGGCAAGCCAGAAGGCTGAGAGACTCACAGCTGGTCTGATGGACAAGGTGGATGCCAGAGGCCTCAGCCTTTGAAAATGCCATGGATCCTGGCCTTTTCCTTGCTCCATTTCCTCAGCAGGAGACAAGACTGGAAGAAGATCCCACCATGCTGCCCCAGTGCTTCAGGCTCACTCAAGGTGAATCCGACCAGAGAAAACCCAAGGTAAGACAGTTCACTTTTTCCCAAGGACAACTTGAGATCATAAAAGTGTAGAAGAGAAGGCGTCCTTAATTCAATCCACCCATTTTACAGATGAGAGCAGTGAGTGTGCAGCCAGAACCTTAGGTGTCTAAAACTTACAACCTCACTTCAGTAAACTATGATGTGACCTTACCAGAGAAAGGACAAATGAGGGAATGGCTTGAGTAAGGAAGGGAAATATGCTGTCTCCTAGTTTGGGACTAGGAGTCAGCCAAACCCAGCTGTCTTCACCTGGTGCCCCTGGGGTGCTAAGAGCCCAGGCTGGGCTGTGACAAAAAAGACCAGGGGCAGAGGGAGCGTGCAGTCTTGATTAGGTTTCCACTCACCCCTGATCTCAGAGGTGCTGATGAAGGAGTTTCCCACAGATAGGCAGAAGGGACACATATGACCCAGATCAGAAGCAGCTACTTTAATTTAGGTCTGATTTGCCTGAGCTAAGTAGAACTGAATGATTTTGAGTCTGTCTCTTGGGTGGTTGGTTCTGTGTGGGAAGAAGAGAACAGAAACCCGGTGGGCAGAGCCCTCGGTTTAGACTTCTCAATCCTCTTCCACCTCATGCTTACTCACACAGTCTGAGTGGAGTTACCCTAAAGTTTCTGCCCTGCCTCTTCCCCATGCAGTGTCCCACTCCTTCCCACTGTGTCCGGAATTTTCTTTTTTTTTTTTTCCTTTTTCTTTTATTATTCATATGTGCATACAAGGCTTGGTCCATTTCTCCCCCCTGCCCCCACCCCCTTCCTTACCACCCAGTCCGCCCCCTCCCTCTCCCCTCCCCCAATACCCAGCAGAAACTATTTTGCCCTAATTTCTAATTTTGTTGTAGAGAGAATTTTCTTAAAATAGAATTTATTTCAATTCTATCTAGGGTGTGGAAGCGCACACACACACACACACACACACAGGTCCCCAGAAGAGGTTCCTTTCCAAATGCACCTGTACTCCTGGACCTCTGGACACAGAATTATGGTGTGATCCATTAGGAGTACTGGAAGATTTTAGCTGATGGTTAGGAAGTTTGGGGCATGAAAGGGTGAAGCAAGCATAGGACAGTAACATCCTGATGGCAGAACAAAGGAGTCGTGATAGCACTAACATTTATGTCGCCATTTACATTCATTCACAATGAATCCTCAAAACAGCCCAGTGAAGGGGATTTCTAACCTTCCCTTATCACAGACGCAAAATTGAGCACAGAGACATTGAGCCAAGCTGAGGACAGAATAGGTGCTGGATTGGTAACCACACTCTTAGTGATTTTTCTTTCTCTTCTCTATGTAGCTGCTGCCTGTGTGGCATTTGTTCACTCAGCCATTCATCACTCTCTCCCCTGCCCACCAACACATACACACATGACCCCAGCTCTGGGCTGGCCACTCTGGGAAGAAAGGCAAACAAGAAAGGGTCGCAGCTGTCAGGAAGATCACACCACAGATCACACCAGGCAGCAGAGTGATCCAAGGCAGGAAGTGGTGA